GCCAAGGCCACGGCTTCGCCGCCGCAGCGAGAGCCCCACACCGAGCGGCCGCGGCCCCAGCCCTGGCCTAGGATCGCAGCGAGACCAATCAGGGCGCAGGCCGGGATAGACTTTACAGTCCCAGCGGCCAATCAGGATGCGAATGGGGGCGTGTCTTGAAGGCGCTGTCACAACGGCCACCAGCCAATCAAGGCGAAGAAGTGAAGACAACCCTGACATGGCCCACGGGGCCATCCCAGCCTATCACCGCTCGGCCACAGGCAGCCAATCGCGGCGCGAGTCTACAAGTCCCGCCTTTGAAGAGACCGGCCAGGCCAGGGCAGAGCACAGGTCCGGGCAGAGGCGGGATCGACGCGCTTCGGGGTTCGCCCCCAGGGCCCCAAGGCCGCAGCCCCGCTTTGTCTGGAGGGAGCGGAGCGGGCGGGACCCCGGCTTGTGGCTACCGCCCGAGTGACCCAGTTCCCCCTGCTCCCACCAGGGCCCTAGCAGCTTGGCTGCAGGTGACGTGCCAGGTCCTGGGCCGGCGCAGAGCCGGGGGCAACGTCACGGTGGTGGTGATGATGTGCAGCTGCGCAGGAGCAGGGGCCTGGGTGCGCGGGGGCGAGTTGGGTTACAAACCAGTGAGGACGTCATGCATGTCCGGGACCGGGCACTGCGCGGGAGGAGCCTGGTGCTGGGGTGCCTCTCGCTGCTGCCCGCCAGCCCGTGCTTGTGGGATGCCTTGGTGCCCCTGACTCGCAGCCTCTGCTTGTCTTGTGGCGCCCTCACCCTGGACCCGCAGCCCCCGGTTCACCTCTCTTGTCCTCGCAGAGTAGGTCAGTCCCGATCGCGATCCACTGGGTGACCCGGGGACCCCGGGCTGGGCGCGGGGCCCGGGGAGCGGCAGGGCCCGGATCCTAGGCGCGTGTGTCGATTCGCCGCCCTGAGGAGAGCACTGATTGGCTGGAAGCGTCACGTGGGCAGGGTCCAGCCTGCTCCACCCTTCCTCCCTTTGATTGGCCTGTGCCAGAGGAGGTGGCTCCAGGAGCAGGAATTGGGGGGTGTCAGTCCTGCTCTGTCCTTCTTTACTTTGATTGGCCTCTGTTGGAAGAGGCGGGTCCATCAGCAAACTGTCCTCTGCAATCTGATTGGCTGTCGGCGGATTGGTGCGAGGGGTTCACTGAGCGCTGCCTATTGGTCCGACTCCGATCCCCAGCGGCCCTGTTCCACTGGCGGGGACGGGAGGGGCTGCGCGGGGGAGCTTTGCCCTGACGCCGCCTATCGGGCTCCGTTCTGAGGTGTGTCCTTACTAGCAAGAGTTGCCCGGTACTTCCCCTATTTTATAGAGGCATTTAAATGAAAAAACTGTTGTTCGGTAAGAACTGCAAGACATCACTTCAATTCTACTCGAGAGTTGGGGATCCTTGGTGTAAAACACTAATATATTGAGAGCAGGGGGTTGAAGTGACGGTATTACTTGTTGCGTGCTTACTTTGAAAAAAGTGTGAATCTGTGTATAAGGTCGTGTGTGCGTGCGTGTGGGTGTGTGTGTGTACACTGTGTGTAGCCTACATGCCATAAAAAGCAGTGATCCGACTGCTATCACTTTCTATCTAAAAGGGAGAATTGATAGATATTCACACATCATTGTTTGCCTCTCGATCTATATTAGTAAGTGTAGTTAATACATATATGACAGGTGTATTGTGCACCCATATGGAGTATTAAAAAGAAATCCTTCGTGCTGCACTCCCGTGCTGCATCAGGCACATCGCAGCCCGGAGATAAGGGCAGGAAACTAAGCAGCTCGGTGCCACGCTCCTGTGCTGACAGCCGGGCTTTGCAGCGTGGACGTACCGCAGGGAACTAACCGGCTCCGCACTGACCCCGCTGCGCGTCATCCTGCGCGGAGCAGCCGGGGTTTACAACCAGTGAAAATAAAAACCTGCTCTGTGCCGCTCCCCTGCTTTGCAAACTGGGCTTTGCAGCCGAGAAATGCGGGCAGCGAGAGAAAAAGCGGCTCGGCCACGCACCTGCAGGCGAGAGATCCCGGCAGGGAGAGAAGAAAGTTCTCGCTCGGGGCGGGACTAGAGCAGTGCCCGCGGGCGGGGGCCGGCGGGGCTCGTGCTGCCCGGGGTGGACACGATTCATGGGACAATGGATCCCGGCCGGGGGAGCACGGAAGGACCGAGATCGGAGGCTCGTGTTCCCGTTGGCTGCTTAGGGGAGTGTGG